TAATGCCCTTAGTAACAGTTCTCTACAGCAAATAACAGCTACTGTAGCAACAGACCTCTTCATCAAGAGGAGGAGCCTGGGACAAAGAGATGTCTTCTCTGCTCCTTAGCCTGTGGCTAAAGGGTAACATTAGCAAGAATGTAACATCCTCTTCCAAGAATGAGGCACATTGTCCGAGCCGTGTGGGATTAAGAACATGCACTTGCTTAAGTGACAAACAATAAACCTTAATTTAGCAGCTACATAAATACACAAAGCCTGGTTATAATGCCCAGTGCAGGGCGCTGCACTCTGACAGTGATGCTCGCTGCAACAGAATTAAAGAATGAAGCCATTCAAACAACATACTGTACATTTGTACTGTACTGTTATTATTTTTATTATTATTAATTGGTGCTGCTGTAACACTATTACACCCCAAAGTATCACTGTTACCATTACAACCAGACTGACAGTGCTTGAATACAGCTGCTCCTAGTTTCCTAACTCTCTCCTCTCAACCAAACCGATCGAGGCAGACGGCCGTGCACCCCGAGTCCGGCTCTGTCCGAGGTTTCTTCCTGTTAAAAGAGTTTCTCTTCTCCACTGTCGCTGAGTCGCATGAGTGCTCATGATGGGAACTGTTGGGCTTCTCTCCGTAATATGTGACCTTACTAAGTAAAGTACCTTGAGATAATGCATGTTATGATTCTGCGATATATTCAAAACTGGGTTGAATTGAATATGTTCCCCACAAGCAGCAAGGGTAAGGTCACAGAGTGCAGCACTATCGTACTTTACGAATAACATGCTGTTCTAAAAAACAGAAAGCACAAGTTTGTCAATGTAAAACAGCAAACTGCTAGAGAACTCTTGCAGTGGATTTTGAAACTTGTACAGACATGTCTTTCTCTTTGAAAACATTATCTTGAAGAATCAACTGGAAATTTAGAACAGAGCTTTAGGTATACTCTGATGAGTCAGACAAACAAAAGGCTCTCTTAGCTCAGCTTCGGCTCAGTCTGAGACCTCAGAGTTTTCCCCCCGAATATCAAAGAGCACAAACATGTAGCATTATTCAGCTCAATGTGCCTGGAGTTTGAGGAAAAGGTCAGTGTAAACCACTAATGCCTGCACGTGGAGCTGAATCTGATGATTTTTAAAAGTCAGGGTTTTTCAGGGCCATCAATAAATATATGACTGTATTTGATCCCATTAGTGAATATATCCAAAGTCAATCATGATGTCTTTGGGATAGATCAATTTTATGCTCGTTATGCCCTTTAGCATCTTTAATATGTTCATATACTGGAAAATAGTTTTAGTATGATTGGAATGGCTGAATGCAAAAGCTGTTGTTATGCATAGACATTTAAAAATTAGAACAGCGAGACTGGTGAGAGTGAACCAAAGAATTAAAGTTGCAGCTGAAACGATTATTAGAGCTCAGGGAGAGTGCAGTCAGGTGATAATTCACCATGAATTTGTTCCCTTCACATTTCATGTAGTAAATATTGATTCATGCAGCTTAAAGTGTTTGGAAACAATAAAATTCTAAATGGTATAGATTTATATTAAGACTGATTTATTTAAGAGTTGATCCAAGCGTAAGAACACCAGGATAGGACCCTTAAAATCTGAAGGCGGGTTTGTAAGTAAAATAACACAGTCAAGTTAGTCAAGTTCCAAGAGCAGTAAACTGATCATTGATGTGAAAAGAAATTTAAACCTTAGACCTTTCTCACAGCTGCCACTCTGACATGTCAGAGAAGGAAAAGCACAAGTATATCATTACATGCATTCCATGTAGGTGAGCCAGGCCCAGGGCCCTGCTATGTTGCACATGGTCAATCACTCAGTCAAGGCTCACTTTTTTTCATGCTATGACAAGTCAAAATGCCTGCTGTGAAAAAAAGTCTATTCATCATTGATTTTTCTAATGGCAATTCAACATTTTTATGACAGTGTTTTGGCTGTTTTGGTCCATAACACAAATTTAGAATTTCTTTCTAAACTGCCACTGGTGAAGCTCCTCAACAGTCATTGTTCTATAACAACCCTGATAACATCTAAGACGACATGGATGTACGCACAACTCAGCTCCGAGGAGAACAGTTGCAATACACAGACAAGAAAACTTTCCTAGCTGTAGTGTACCGTGGAAGCAAAAGAAAGGTCCCATTGTGTGAAGTCAACTCTGACTTAACCCCGACCAATAATTTAGTTTGATAGTTTTTAGTTTGATAGTTCTCGTTGTGATGCGTCTGGGGAGAACTGTGGATCATGGATAACGCTATAACTTTATAATTGATTATTTTAAATGTAATGTTTTTCTTTTGTTAGTTTCTGTGGAGATTTGACTGTCACTGTACCGCACTTTATCTGTGGAGTTTGTCACTTGAGGGTTAGAGGAGATGAGTTTTAAAGGATCTTTCCCACAGTTAAGCAATACAGGAAATAGATTTTGGACAAAATATTGCATTATTCACAGTAATGCATGTCTGCAGGGGATCTTTACAGTGCTATGTGATAACTTAACACAGCAGCTGTATGTTGTTCCAATAGTAAAAATTCACAATTGCTGTTACTTGTACTTGCTGTCACACTTTTGTTGATGTTAGATGACAAACATATTGCTTGTAGATTATTCTGGATCAAGAAATAAATCGATCAAGTATCTTAAACTAAGATAAATGCTTTGTTATATCCTGTCCAGGTCTACAACACAGATAAAAAAAAATCTAAACTGTAAATACTTTTTTAAAAAGCTTAAGGGTAAAGACATAGAAATAAATTACTCTATTATATGGAAACAAAGTTACGCAGATTATCTCTCTGAATTGACAGTTTCTTTCTGCTTGGAACTTGGAGGTGCAAAAAGGGTGAGGATGGCAGCTGTGATAGTGACTGGCTTTAGTTTAAACTCTTTTTCTTACAATATTTTTACTGTTAAGGCTGATTTTTTTTATTGTATTAGGAGAACTGAAGGGGGGCTGTGGAGGGAGAGTTGTTGGCAAAGACACTACATGAGGTGAAAGGGGCAGGTGCATGGTAGTGTTCCTAAAACAATGTTAAAAAAAACAAGTTAATTATTTTAGTTGAATGGTTTATCAAGAGCTGCCGCAGTGGCTGTGACACACAGCTCACAGAGGCACTTTAAAAACTTCCACACCTGAATTTCTGTACCACAATTTGCATATAAAATCTTGCTCCTTCTTGGAGTCGTAAGTCCAGGTGCTCCTTCTAACTGTGACTCAGAACCTGCTGGAGAATCATCACATTTTTTACTTTTCTTCAGTATCAGAGTAATCCAGTGATGCTTGTCTGTATATTCATGGGTACATGGGCGAACAAGAACCGCTAATAGCCAATTCGGCACACTTTTGATGTTGCTAACTTGCCAAAATGTAAATTTAGGCTAAAATCTGAGTTCAAGTTGTAGCCGGCAAGCAACTATTTTTACTTTACTGTCTGTTTACATCCCCCAAAGTTATGGAAAGTGAGAGTGAGAGAGGAGGCTCACTCTGACAGACTTTAATGATTTAATTATCTTGCAATGTATCAATTAATTTCTTTCTTAAATGAGCTCATGTTTGAACATATTTGTTGCTGACTTATGAAGTAAGTGAGTGTCTAATAAATGTCTGCCTGCCTTTGCCTTGATCCCTGATCACTTGATTCTCAGAGGGGTCAGAGGTAACCTGGCTAATTAAGGGTCCCTCCTCCCCTTCTGGATAACCTCATCTGAGCTTTATGTTTTCACTTTCATGGTCCAGCAGTTCTGCCTGGTACTTCTAAGCTAATTTTGCCTCGCCTGCACGGTTTTAGGGGGGTCTCTGATAATCCACAGACAGGTTAGGTTCAAACTGTCAAAAAGGGTTTGTCCAGGAAACTGGCATTGTTGTCTAGAAAATGATACAGTATGAGAAAAAGTTCCTCCAAACTGTTTCCCCAAGTAGTTTTCCTGCTTGAGTATTAGTGCAACCGTTCTTACAGAGGAAAAACAGTATAATTATATTCCAGTATAAGCCTCAGAGCATCATCCCACTGCAGTCTAATGTTATTATGAAGGAAAAAAAACAACAATATAGTAATTTTCTGTTCTGCACATGGACACAAAACCACGTGAAAATAGAGAGCCATGTACCAAGTGACAGTGTCGCAGGAATGGTATAGTGCTAAAGGATTATGTTATTGTACAATCAATAAATACACTGATAATGTCAAAGATGAAAATGGTACTTCATACAAGTTGACAAGTGATGTCATTTATAACCTTATTTCCATCACACAACAGCAGAGACGTTACACTCATCTTGCAGAACTTATTGGACTTAATGATATCACATGCATATATCTGTGCTAACTGGCAGAAATGAAGATTTCTTTTTTTAACTCATATGGACAGAAAATCATTAAACCGAACACAGACAACTATATATCAACAGTCTGACAGTTGGAATTTTTTTCACAGCCATTTGTAATTCCTGTGGAGTTGAAAATTGATAACTGGTCCTGATCTTTATGGCCTCAAAATACAATGATTAAATGTAGTAAAGATGCATTCATCTCAGCTATCTAAAAGATACTGTCTTCCAAAAAACCATCTTTGTATTCTCATGTGTTATTTGGTCTATTTGGTCACACCAGGAATAAAATGAATGAAAATATGTCAGTATAGTGGAGCAAATAGGATTAAATGAGTTGAATGCCAAATGTCTGGAAACAGGAATTCTGTCAAGAGATAATCCCCCCTATGGATTTAACACAGTCCACTCTCAGAGGACTGTATTTGTCTCTCAGGCACTGACACACATGGAGGAATTCCTGAAGCCAAAGTCCACAATCCTGTTGAATTTCTAATTTAAAGAAATGGAAATTTTGCATGCAATTCAATTTGCAATACCTGGAATCAAGGATACACAAGAGAGCTTCCACTGCTATGTTGTTTACAAAACAATGTCACCTTTCACATCACGGCTCTCGCTCACACAGGTGTACCAGACTGTTGGTGGTCTTACCTTGAGAACTTCCATGGGCGACTGGCTCACAGCAGGCCAGCCAGGGGGAGGCGTGACATGGACAGTGAAGGTGTGCTGGTTGCCGTGGCGCTGAAGGTCCCTGGTCCTCCTTTCTCGGTCCTCCCTGCGCTCTTGACCCCGGTGACAGGCAAATACTGGCTGCTCTCCGAGCCGGACCTGTGACGTCACGGACGGTAGAGGGGGGGGACTCTGGAAGCGTTTGCAGAGGCCATGCAGGTCCGGGGGAGCACTGAAGACCCCAGCCCACCCAAGGGCAAAGAGAAGAGGGAGGAGTTCAACAGACCAGGCTAAACAACATGCTGGTGTGCACAGTCACTGGCATTACTCTGAGCCATCCTGAGCGAGTGAGCAATATGTGGTATTGTAGTGGAGTACAATATGATGATTGAGAGAGAGGGAAGCCAGAGATTCTTTTACTGAGAGTAAGTTATTGTTCTGTGAATGAGAGTGAAAGAAGCAATATGAGAAAGGGGTGTTAAACATCAGCACAGTGCTTCCTACACGTTAGTAATTCAGACTGCTCTGACTGAATATGCGAATAAATGTAAATGTATCCTGAATTACAATAATAATCATACTTCATGCCCCATTGGGCTGCATTTAGATTATAACAAGCTGTAAACACTGCATACCAGCAAACAGTTTACACACAGCATTTACTGCACACACTCAGTAGACACTGAGAAACAGCTCATTTGGAGTCATGTTTGTGTCCACCTGAAGTATAAATCCAATAGTGATTCTCCTTTTAGCTCTGCTTTAGTCTCCACTAACTCCTGAGGGAAACATCTGCCTCTTTAGTAGCTCAGTGCTCCACTATGTCCACTAGCTAGGTCCAGCTAGATGCTAACTTGAGCCCCTTTTCCACTGGTCAAAAGTTTACGTCATGCTTTTGCAGGCAATGGAAAATGGTTGAATCGGTAATTACACCTGGGTCAAATGACTCTGCGGTAGACGCGGGTATTTATTGGCTCTCGCACCGACTGGCAGTGATGTAAATGTAAGACCCGGGTGAACCCGCTAATTTACATCCCTTTTTTTTTCCTTTTTTTTGAAAGAGTGAGCTGCAGCCCTGAAATAAGTTGTAAGAAAACACAATCACAGATCGAAGCGTCTCACACAGAGGCTCCGACATGTTTACAGGAGCACAGAACCGGGGATGAGATGTGACAGATACGTTTTACCAGTCTGCACGGCAGCTAGCAGGTTACCCTTTCTCTTCTGCATCTGTGTGTGTGCTCTATAACTGCACGTGATGACATCACTCCTTGGAGTTGTGTGTGTCCTCAGTCTAAACAGAAGTGGCAGTGGAAAAGGGGTCAATAGTGGGTTAAAAAACCTGCTTATACCTGCTAATTTTGGTGTATATGTCTGGTGCTGCCGCGTCTGAAAACAACACTAATGAGAGTGCTGAGACTGAACCAAAACATTAAAGTTCAGTGATAATTCTTGGTGGATTCATCAAGACATATGATCCCTTCTACATACACGTCCACTGTTGCATGTAGAAATATTGATTAGAGCAGCTTTAAGTCACAATTTGTCATAACTCCAAATTAGCCCATATTCAACAGAACTGAAAGCCAAGTCCAAAGAACTGAGTCATTACTGCAGTTGTTAATTCTGTTAATTAGCCCACCATCAGCAGCCAAATTTAGTTCACCCTCCATGCTCTGCCAGCTCAAAGAATGAATGAAGCTGGTGGTAAGCTGGTGTGGATTATGTGCCACCAGACTCCAAAGGTCTGAGGCAGCACAATACCTGTACCCCTTTGGAAACCATTTAATCACTTCACGGCTTTACTCATGCAATAGCACACAAAGCAAAAACTCAGTCTTTCCGATCTGAGTTCACCCTCTCAAATGTGCAGCATGTCTGAGCGGACAGCGCCTGCACATCCCAAACCGAAATGGATCTGGCAGTGCACACGCTGTCAGGATGAGGCATTCCCTGGGAAAATGATTCTTTTGATAAAAACCACTTCAAATCCTCTCAGCCTGTGCAGCTGTGTGATAATCGCACTAATTAGGCTGGTATGCCAAATCTAGCCCCGGTCTACAGCTATCACTTCAACATCACCAGTGGCAGTGCTTCAGGACTGGGATAGAAGCTCAATGATCTTTTTTGTTTAGTTTTTTTTTCTCTGAAGAATATCTCAGTTATTCACAAAAATCTGCACCTTCTTTCTTAAAATTGTGACGATTCTTTTGGATGTTGCTCGTGACTAGTGCTACTTCACCATTGTAAATCCTATCCCCAGATCCTGGGGCAAAAGTGTAATTTATTTAGTCAAAGTGATATGAATAGTAGTTTTCTTAGGAGTTTGTCTAATTGTACTGGCTGTGACTGTTCATTCATATTTCTTTCATATTTCCAAGAATTTTTTTTCCCTGTAGATTATTTCCCAAGACAAGACCTTCACAGAAACATTTTTAAATAAATAAATAAATGAAGATTAACAGCAATAGAGAGCAGGAAATTTATTTGTCAACCCTTGTGTTTTGTTGATATTGGCTTTATTTCTCATTATTATTTGGTAATGGTAAATGGACCGCACCGCGTTTTCTAGCCTTATCGACCACTCAAAGTGTTTTACACTACAAGTCATTTACACATTCACACAGCGCTTCTCTATCAGACACACACACACACACACACTGATGATACATCAGGGGCAATTTGGGGTTCAGTATCTTGTCCTAGGACACTACAAAATGTGGACTGGAAGACCTGGGAACTGAGCAACTGACTTTCTGATTTGTGAACAACCCACTCTAATAATGTAATGCTTTGTAGAAAGAACTGTCAGTAAATACAAACATCACTGTATTGAACCATGTTTTACAGCTGAGGTTTTCATACTTTCATTTTCTGTACTTCTGAAGCATGTCATCAATTCAAAATCAGGTTTATACACAGTTCTCATAAATTTAGGAAAACAAATAAATTAAAATAACAATTTATAATTATATGTTTATTTTACATTGTTGTTCACTGGGTTTGGTAAGTTACAAGAAAATAAACAGTAATTTGATTAATGTAAATTACATTTATTGATTTACTGCACTTTAAAAATACATTGATATCCATGAGAAAATAATGCATTTTCATTTTTTAAATTAGACTTGTGCATGTAAGTGAATGTATGTAAACAATGGGTGATAATTGCATTTTAAAGAGGACATTAAATGTTATGATGTATGTCCAGATGACCTCACAGCATTGGTTATGGCCATAATCCATGTCAAGGTCAGTAAAACCAAATTTTGAACCTTGAATTTTGGATGCATGACTTTTAGCAGTACTAAGTGAGTGTCAGTCTCAGTAAGTCAAGTGACCTTAATGAAGAACTGTGAAAATAACTGTTAAATCACCAAAATGTCATTTGACTTTAATTTACTGACCTACAACTTAATGGGCTATGTGGACTGAAATTGTTGTATTTGTGAGCATGGTGCTAACAGTCACTGTAACCACACAAAGCAGTGCACAACTGAAATGAATTAACTTAAATTATTTTGTGTGTGTGCGTGTAAAGTAAAAAATCAATTCACATGACGTTTTCAAATTTTGTTCCAAAGTCACAAATGTGGTGTTCACTGTTTAATTCGGATGTATTATTACCATTAAATTCAAGATAATCGGGTATATTTATTCATTGTATTAACTGCTATTGTCTGCACTGTCAACATTAGTTGATAGTGTATATACTTTGATCCAGAGGTTTTCAAACAACTGTTATACCAGGCTTGGATGACCAGAGCATCCACCAAGTGCATTCAGAAAGTATTCAGACCCCTTAAATTTTTTTCACATTTTGTTATGTTGTAGCCTTTTACTAAGATTAAAAAAAATATAATTTTTCCCTCATCAATCTACACTCAATAACCCATAAGGACAGAGTGAAAACTAAACTGAATTTTAGAATATTTTTGCAAATTTAATAAAAAGGAGAAACTGAAATATCATATTGACAGGAGTATTCAGACCATTTGCTGTGACACTTGACATTTAGCTCAGGTGCCTCAATTTCTCTTGCTCATCTTTGAGATGTTTCTTGTTTGATTAGAGTCAAAATGTGAAAAAAAATAATTGAAGGGGTCTGAAAACTGCACTGTAACTGTGGAGTGGAACTACAGTTACATTCATTTATGACAATTAACAAAACACAAAGTTACCTTACTGACTTGAATCTTTTCACTTCAGTTAAGTTGGTGCCCTGTAGTCCTTTCTCATTAAATATTTGCAAAGCCATCTTTTATTTTAAATCCTGCCTTGTTCACATCATGTTTGCCAGCCGGCAGTCTTCTTCTTCACTGCTTTTGTGGGGACTTAGCTTCTTTGCACACTGTTGCCACCAACCGTCAATTAGCAGAATTGTCTGCTATCTGTTTTATTAGTCCCTTTCCCAATGTTATAAAAACTTAAATCAGTACGTAATTGTTGGATGGGGCCATGATATTCATGTCAATGTTTCAGCCTGTAAGCAGTCAGCATAAGCGAGAATACATCGAGCTTGACCTAACAATCAACAGTCTAATGACATGTATCCCTGGAAGCCTAAAGAAGATAAAAACACAATTTATATCCATTAGTTATGTTAATAGTTAATGAGTATGTACATATGAAAACACTCATCTCAGCACAACTGGCCAAAAAAAGAGAAACAGCATAAGCCATGTTCTACCCATATCCACTCTTGGTAGTTTGTTCCTTAAATATGCATTAGGAAATATGTTAGTCACTTAAATTGCAGAATCCAATATCTACGATATCTAAACAAAATAGATCAATGAGCTGACGTGACGCTGGACTCACACATGACTCAGCTGACTGCTGCTGACCATTCACTGCTCATGCTTTCGCAGAAAAGGCAGTGACACTTCCTGACCACACTGCAACACCTTTACCCACAAATAATGTCAATCATCTGTTGAAATGCTGCATCTCAATGGGTAAATTCACTGTGTCGCCATCAAAATCAGTCCCATTGACTTGTTTGTAAACTTGTTGACAGTTAATTCTGTGAAAACCGCAGAAAGCCATTTCTTCACAGTCTGAATTTAACAAAGCGTGGTGAAGATGATTAGTGTGCATATGTAGCACAGACACACAACTGATATGTTGCCAGTTGTGAAAATGTTAAAAGCTGAAGTTTAACACACTTATGCAGTTGCTTTTAAAAGACACCCATCAGTTAAACATGGAAAAGGACACATGGGAACACAGGATACAGCATTTGTCACCTTTATAATCAACCAAAAAGACATGAATGTCCAAAATAAAAAAAAATTAAAACTTAAAGAGGATAAAAACATGTTTCTTACCTTTTTATTTTCATGTTTGTCCCTAAGGGTCCCCACTGCAGTGTAGCTGCGGTTTGAGGAATTAGGTCCTTTTAAAGTGCTGTAGGATGGCAGGACTTCCTGGTGTGACACAATAATGTCTCACTAGCAACTTGACACAGTGACAAATCCTAGATGTCTTGACATTTGTGGTTTAATTGGACATACTGGTTTAAGGAAGGAGGCCGGGCAGTTTTGTAGTTTTGCAACATGAGCAGTTATCTAGCACACAATCTCCATTCACTGCAACTGGTGAGTGGAGCGAGGTGCGTGGTGGATTACAGAATATTGTAGCTAAGAGGTTTTATAAGGTTCAAACAGTACCTCAGTGTCTGCAGAACCATGACTATATCCAGTGGGTATTAGGAAAAAAAGTGTGAACAGTCCTAAGAAAGACAGAAAGATAAAATGATTTTTAAGAAAATCAAATGACTTTGTAGTTGAGTTGCTTTGAAGTGCACAAAAAACCCCATAAATAATAAGATACCAAATTATGCTGAAATTCTGGATTAGCCCATAACTCATTCTTACTCTGAAACACAAAACAAGCTCCAGAAGCCTACAAAATAAAAATACTAATAATAATTTTGGTAATTCTTTTGAAGCTATACTGCTCTTAGTTTCACTTTATTGCATAAAGTAACTGTAGATGAAATAACCCATACCACTGTTATCTGTGCATTAAATATAAGGCTACAGCCAGGATCCGATGCTTAGATTAGCATAAAGACCAGAAGCAGGGGGAAGCAGCTAGCTTGTCTGAAGGTTACAAAGTCCCCCCCATAGTGCCTCAAAAGCGCATTAACAACATGCTATAACTTTTTTACACAAGATATTTGAATGTTAGTTCATGAGTTTTAGTGGTGCTGATGTTTTATGTTACCTCTGCACAGAGCCAAGCTAGCTGTTTCCCCCTGCTTCCAGTCTTTGTTCTAATAAGACAATGTCTCCCGGCTGCAGCCATATACTGTATTTAATGGAGAGACATGAGAGTAGTATCTAATCTATATCATGGCATGTTTTAGGATTGTTTCCTCTATTTGTGTGAGTACAGTCTTTGAATTACTGCTATTTAAATCAACTTTTATAAAAAGCCAAGTATTCATTTCAGCATTACATTTACAGCCTCTATTATTCCTTTACAAACTGCTCATAAATAATAATAGTTGATAATTTCAGAATCTTATTATGTCCAAATAACATCAGTGTGAGAACCTGTAACTCTGGAGAAATCTCAAATGAAAAGCACAATAAATATAATCAATGGATGTGCTTTTTTATGCTGAATGTTTACACTCAGGTCTGTTTCACAGTGGTGACACCAGCTATGACTCATGAAGCAAACCGTGATATTTATTCCACAGGCTCATTTTCCTCGTTCACCTCGTTTTCAATAGAGGGCCTTGTCTCATCTCCAGTTAAAATGGCTTGTTCACATTCGTATGCCAGACTCATAAGAACGATTTCAATTAATTTATTTCTTGTCGATGTTGTTTTACCATGTCATCATGGAGCGTTTATTTGCATGTAATCTTTGTGACCTCCTCTTTTAAAGGGAATTATTCATGTATTTTTCTTGTACAGCAAAGCAAAGATCCCTGACTCCACTGCAAGGACGCAAAGTGGACGAATGCCTGTTGATGTGACAAATATGACAAAGGACAGTTTTCCTGTAAAAGCTCAAATTATTCAGAGATTGTGACTGTAGCACAGCTATTGCAGCCACTGGAAACAGGAAGAATGGAATGTGATTCAGCCATTTCCATGCTGAAACTCAGCTCTAAAATTGGTGCCTTCTTTTCTAGACGGTTTCGTCACCTTCCTCCAGTTGCGTGAGACTGTTTTTTACCTTCACAAAGTATTTCACAACACAGAAGTAGTCCTAAACCTACTGTTTGACAGTCTATTACAGTGGTTTTCAAAGTGGGCCCCCCCCCCGGCACCCTGGGGGGCCACCAGGGGGCACTAGGGGGTCCTCAGCAAATTGGAAGGAAGATGAGAAATAGTGCAATTTAAAAAAATAACATTGAATTGTCATTATTTTTATGAGCATTATTAAAAAGTATCATTTATGATAGTACAACATATTGAAATCTTATTTGCCATTCTAATCTTTCTAATTGCCTGCCATTCAAAACATCCTTCATCACGTCATAAACTGTTAGTGTTGACCTGCCAGTCTGCGCCTGCCACCAAGCTGCTCTGTTCCAGAAATTGCTTGCTTGCTAGCATGTAGCTAACTAGTGCAACACAAATGGAAACGTTTTTGAAAAGGAAAAGACCCGACGAACAGCCCGGCTGTCAAAAACTCAGCTGCAAAAAATGCGATGAACCTCCTGGCAAACTAAAACTCGAGTATGAGGCTGCATACATTAAGTATGGCTTACACATGAAAATGGCTATGAGTGCCCGAAATGCGTCCTCTGCCTCGAGACCCTCTCAAATGAGTGTTTCAAACCATCTAAACTTCAGTGTTCTTTGACACAAAAACGTCCAGCAGAGCTGACTCTTTCAAACGTAAAGTAGAGCATTTGGCCAGGCAGTCAGCTATATTCACACAGCAAACTACCATCCCTGAGCAGGCCCTGAAACACACACACACACACATACACATGCACGCACACACACACACACACATAGTCGAGTAAAAGTTTTCTGGAGTCTGGAATCCTGCTGTGCAACATAAAACTCCAGCTTTACTAATACTGAAATGCCCCTGTGTGAACCCCTTATCTCACCTCAAATATCTCACCTGTTGTATTCATGGTTCCCGCCTTTTGTTTTGTACCTGCCCCTCCTCATTGCACCTGCTGTTACCTGCTCCCCTTCCTCTCGCTCCTTATCACGTCCTTTTAGTTTCCCTTGAGTTTCCTTGCACGTCTGTTACTATTCTCTAGTGTTTTACTGTGTATTTTAGCTTAGTTCCTGTATATCTTGCCTTTTTGGATCCCTTGCCACCCAGGCTGGATTTGTTTCACCTTCAAAGTAAGACTTTTGTGTTTTCATTGTTAAATAAAACCTTGAACCGTACCAGCACTGGCTTTGTTTTGTGTCTTCAGAAGTCCTAAAACATAACAATATATAATTTGGGACACTCTAATTATCAGCAAAAATCACTATTTAGCAAGTCGAATAACAATAATGTCTGGCACATACTGTGGGGAGTAAGAAAATATGGCTTGTCAGATGTGTTTTGCTTCGTGGAGGATCCAGTGGAAGAGATTCCCCCCTCTGTCCTTGGACTGGATGAGCCATAAAAATTAATTTTGTTGGTTGATGTGTGGGGATGCGACTTCTTACAAGGCCAGTTTTCTGCACACAAAAGGACAATTCATAGCAGCATCTTGTGTTCTTTCCCCAGGATAATGAGTTATTCACAGGATCTAATGCAGAATAGTACAGATAATTTTCCTTTTCCTAATTATCTAACCCGTCAATGTGTGGTGTAGGAATGCACAATACTGCCAGCTGAGATCTAAAAATATATTTACTGCACTTTATGCATCAAATCTTTCTTTTTTTTTATCTCAAGTGCAACTAAAAACAGTTTGTTATGAGCCTACAAGTTGATGCATGTTGTGCTATAACTCAGAAGGTGGTCCTTCTCTCTATCTGACAGGTTTATCACCAGAAATATTTGAGTAGAATAGAAAAGAATAGAATGTTTTCTTAATATTTGTCCAGCTGATCCTTCACTGTCCTCTGTACACTGTGTGCATGTTATACCGTTGTCACACAGATGACCAACCGCTACAGCCTAGACCTGAATGACCATTTTCTCCTGTTTAATCAAAATAGATTCTGTGTCTTATTATTATTATTATTATTATTATCATCATCGTCATTATCATCATCATTATCATCATCATTATTATTATTATTATTATTATTATTATTATCATTATTATTATTATTGTTGTTGTTCAATTTGCACAATGTGTACATTGTTAAAATTGGGTTATTACATTATGCACAAAAAGGTTACTTTAGTGAAAAGGAAATTGAAGATAGCTGTCTACATTACCTGTCCTGAGTCCAGGTGAATCGTTCGGTTGGGTCTGGCTATTTCATAGTGAACAGTCACATCTATGAGAGGGAAAGACTGGAAAAAAAGACACAGATCTGTGCTCTATTTATTTCCGATGAGATTTTAACTGGGAACAAAAGGTGAAGTTCAGAGTGAAGAGGTAACTGAACAGTGTGCAGATTCAACTTTGTTCAGGCTGATGTGAGGAAACACAGCAGATGAGTTTGTGCAGATTTAGCTGGTTAGCGTGCTAACTTCAGTAGAAGTAAAGACATAATAGAGACAAGACTTTGCATTGCAGTTGCTTTCCACCTCTGGAGACAGCTCTTGGTAAGTAAAGGAATGAAGTTTGATGCTGAACTCGCAATGTTTCCTCTAGACTGGTAAGTGAACAGCTGCTAACGCTAACACTGGCTATGTAGTAAATGAGTCCACGTGGTTGTTGTTTAGTTCCAGCAACCAACTCCCCCTAAAACTACAAATTGCCATTTTTTCGTTTATGTTTGTGCAGATCATGAACACATGATGTATAATTTATTGATTAGTGAACAGAGGTGTAAGTATAATTTCTTAATTTGGCATGAGTAAAGTTGGTTGATTTCCCAAGAATCCACTTAACACTTAACTCGGCTAGTGGCCTCCCAGCTCCAGCTCTGTACTAAACACACAGTAAGTAAGCGTGTAAACGACATAGCCCATAAACAACTTGGGAAACGCTGACTTTCTCTCTCTAGAAGTTTGTGAAGTCATGCCCAGAGGTATATGTTTTCGGGTTGTCGGTCCGTACCTATGGTCGGTACATACGTCCCATTCTCATGAACACAATATCCCAGTCAGACCTCAAGGGAATTTCCTCAGATTTGTGACAAACATTCACTTCGACTCAAGGATGAACCAATTAGATTTTGGTGGTCAAAGGTCAGAGATCACTGTGACTTCTCAGAACATGTTTTTGGCCATAACTCAAGATTTCACACAAAT